CTGCTGCCGAAGTTTTCTCCTCTCTAGACACTTTACGCGGTCTGTCGACCTTGTCATAATCTGGCGGACCAAAAGTGGTACTAGTGTGATTGATGTCATTATTTTCTTCCTCCGACTTATGCTTTAATGGCAAATCAGCTTCTGCTGATGTCTGCATACGGGGTGGGGTCGTCTTCGTTTTTCTCGAAAATGATTCCTGAGCGAGGTCAGACATTGGTTGTGCCTTTTGTCTGTCCTGTTCACGTTCAAGCGTCTCGCCACCTGAAGTACTAATTGCCAGCAAGTGGTCTTCCAGATTAGGTGTCACTGTTTGAGGACAGTTTGGGGCGTCAGGAAGGCTGCGGTAGTTTTCCTTTCCCTCCGCTTTAGAAAGTTCATTTTTGTCTTCGTCAGCTTTATGACGTGGCCGCCTTCGCTGCGAACGTGAATGAGCTACGCCGGCAGACTTTGGTGAACGAACACGGCTGGTAGCTTCTGCCTCCAGTTTGCACGAAACTTTGTTGCGAAACTGTAGATCTAGGGGAACATCTCCAGAACCCCCTTCCCCGTCCGGTCGCTCTCCACTGTAGACCTCTAGGGGGCTGGACTGAAAACGAACGTAATCGAGGTTAAACAAGGTGTGATTAAATTCATGGCGCGAGGTGGGGCGTTTGTAGCTCAAATGGTTAGAGCGTTGGCTTCCGATAAAGCCTTCTCTACTATGCGGGTTCAAATACCGCCGAACGCCTCGAGTTTTTTCACAATTGGGTCACTTCAAATTAAGCAAATCTGGCAAACCGCCTGATAATATATTCTCGAAGCTTGAAAGTCACATTTGAGTTTTTCGAAGCTATAAAGACTATGAACGTTGGTGGAAGTCAGATGTTCTCATTAGATATATCATCAGTTTTATGCAACGTACCCATGGTAGAAACCATAAACTCCCTTTGTGACGTTATTCGGGACACGAACTGCCAGATAGGCATGCCCGTGAAAATCCTCAAATAACTATTAACAAGATGTACACTAAATGTAAACAATCTCTGCAATGGCCGCTTCTGCAGACCGATAGATGGTGTGGTGACGGGCTCACGAAGGGCCTACGCCAACGGATGCTTGCAACAGCTAAAGCAATGGCTATACGGCTACCAAATCCAGTGCTGTGTTGTCAGAAGACGCTAACTCAAGCACTTTCACTTCCGTGGCCGACTCCAACGCCAGGTGGCGATCGTACATCGCCCCACGCCCTTGTGAAGGTCGTTCGCTCTATGCAGATGAAATGTACCTGGCCGCTGAGCAACACCTACAACCTAACCCAATTAAGCCCCACTCCACCAACGCAAGGACCTGTACACGCCGATCTCGCCATGCGGGTAGAGTGAAAACGATGAGTTTTAATCAAAATACAATTATTAACCCTTTCATACTGTACAATTTTCATGATCTCCGCGACAGGACTGGCCTGAGTTACTGAAAACATATGTTTGCGAAATCGACTTCTCCAATTTGCATCTACTAAACATCTAGCAGGTCTCGCATGTGCGGACATCCCAAAGTTGGAATTGGCATTCACGCCAAGACTCATGGCAGCAGGGCGCACTGAGTTTGAGAAAAACAACCAGAAGTTTAAATTAACATAAAAATGAAACAGATAAAGAGTACTGTCAACGACAAGTGAGTTTGACGTGTTAATTCCTAGCTTACAACCAAGCGCCTGCCAAAGTTACACGAAAGTAAGTCCGCCTCAGGTGAGGTTAGAATCCTGATTATCTGATTAATAATCGTTCTGCCATTGAGCCAGCGTGATTATGTCCAGTCAGTGGAAATGTCCACTGTAGTGGAAAAGGCATTTCCCGCTCAGATAACGAAGCCTGCGTCTCTCCTTGTGCCCTTCCTGGTGGCAATTTTTCCAAAGTAAATGAAACGCAAAAATGAGAGCTTATTTTCCATCAGTCGGCAGGGTTAGGGTAGGAAACCCCACCGTGAAAACTGTCGGTAGATGAGCCTGATTCTAATCCTAACCTCGAGCACTAAACTCTCCTTCCCATACTTAAACCTTACCCTTAACCTAAAGGTGGAATCCCAACCCCTAAAAATCAAAAACATAACTGTAAAACCATAATCCCAACAGTGACCCCTTTCATGGCCTGATAACACGAAAAAAACGCTTTAAACCACACCTACCTAAATAAAATAAGTAGACACCTCTTGGAAAATAACCCAGTGGAGTTACAAACCATAACCACATCAATCCAGCTTCTTCTCTAGTGATCTTTGCAGCCAGCTAAAGTCATACCATCTCCTGGTAAAATATTAGTTTGCCTCTATAATCTTTGCCTTTTGGTTGATTTTTGACTAAACACGGTCCTAAAAACACTGTACGCCACAACCAACCTCCACCGACAAGATGTTGGGAGTAACCCATGCGAATAAGCTAATATTATATAATATTTGCTGCTGTGTAATTTTGTACGAGGCCACTTGCATTAAAAGGGGGTGGAAGGATCGGTTTGGTCCCTTTTCCGGTATCTTGTCTCCGGCGGGAGAGCCTGAATGCAGGGAAACGCACATAAGCCATCTCATGAGGGTCAAGTACGACGTAAAACCTCCAGCGAACAGACAGCAAAGTCACTTGTGCCCAGGAATAGCATGGCTTTTCACAGTTTTAAGTGAATTCTATCGTACGACAGATGGTTTAGTAAAGGGATGCCGTTGGAAAAGAAAAAAACTGAGATGCTCAAGTGTTTATTATTCCTAAAATGGTGTACTACTTAGATCGAAATTTACCATATTGAAAGCGCGGGCACTGAACGTTATTTATCAAGTTTCATTTCATAAATCAGTAAACAAAATTGTTTGTCGGTGTTTAAGAAATACTTTCTCTATACGTAGCATACAGTTCATTCGGTCAAAAGCCAGATTACCCTTATATTTCTTATAAGCAGACTAATGCAAGATTTATTCTGAATACAATCTCGTAAAATGAACTATTAAACTAACAACTATGCTATAAGCGTTAACAAACTTGGCAGTTAAGTCATGATTTTGAAAAGCGTTTCTCTTATGGATGAGGAACACGTAGTGTGTGAGATTTAATCTGATAGGAAGACATATGAGGTACACTGACGACTGTCCCTTCAATTTATAAGCAAAGGCGTGATTAGAACCTTTTATTTGGCAACCTGTCATAGGAACTGCCAACAGACATTCTGAAAATGATGTCAGCTAGAAAGATTTAATAAGACAAGGCTCTAATGCGAATTATCAGACAACATAATCTCAAGGCAGTCCAGTCACAAAAGGATGTCAGCTTTAGAATATCCGTTTTTTTCGGCTGCTTGCGAAAGTCCCAGTCGCTAGCAATAATTACTAATTTCAGACGATAGATTGGTGAGCGTACGTCAACTTTCGATATATTCTTCTTAAGCCTCTACTTTTAAACGTTAATGAAATAAATAAACTATGCTGGTTGTTCTTGTCAGGGTCGGTGGGGGCTGGGGGATAATTGAGGTCAAAATACGAAGAAGACAACTCGATCGCTGGGACAATACAGGGTGTCCCAGAAGTAACTGACCCTTTTGATTTGCTAATAAAACGAAAACTATTAATGTTAGGATATTGAAACTTGTTTTATTCGAAAAAAAACCCTTTCTAAAATTTGGTGCGATGAAAATCAAGAAATTCAAGAAAGGC